ACTCACCTATCACCATCCCACCTACCTTCCCCAGCCCCATCCCTCCTCTTTCTATTTATTTCTGAACTCCCTTACCCCTCTCCATTTCTGAAGAAGGGTCCTGACCTGAAATGTCAACTTTCCTGCTCCTCTGATGCTGCCTGGCCTGCTGAGTTCCTCCAGCTCCACACTGTGTTATCTAAGTTGTTAAGCAGCTGTTGTTGGTCTTTAGTTTAGATGAAGTAGGATTAAAGTATAAGAACTAAGGTAAGCACATTAATATATATTCAGTATTATTTACAGGCAAAGAAGTAAGCATAAGAAGAGGAATTTAAGGGTAAGTCATGCAGGACAGCTTTGCTAATATTCCCCTCTGCAACATGGGAAATCAGTGCCAGGGTGACCGCATATACAGGAAGAGTCTTCAGCTGTAGCTATTCACAGCAGTTGGAGTAGCAGCTGGAGTCACTGTGAACCATCTGCGAGGGTGAGATCTTTTTGAATAGCACAAACAGTGAAGTTGTCATACTACAGGAAAACAGTGCACAGGCAGAAAGGAAATGGATGATCACCAGATAGTGTGAAAGCATTACAAATGTAATGCTCAAGATTGGTCCCAATTCCACATGGAGAGTGAGATCAGGAATAGGAGAATAGACTGGAAGAATGTGAAACCTGAGAGATGGTATAGAAGGGAGGGACTACATTCGTGAGGCGTTGGGACTGATTCTGGTGAAATGGGACTTGTACAAGTTGAACAAGTTGCACGCTCACGGGACTGTGGCCAATATTCTTAAAGAAGTATTCACTTATATGTTGGTAGAGAGTATGAAGAACGGCTGGGGATGGGAACATCTGAATTAGGAGCAACAGTAGGCTATTCAGTCCGTAAAAATCACCCTATCATTCAAGTATGAGATAGTTACTCTGATTGTGACCTAAAATCTGAATTCAACTCTACTCTGATAACCTTTCACCTCCTTGCTTAATCTATCACAGACTTAAAAATCTATTTCCACCACATTTTCAGGATGAGAGTTTCAAAGACTCATGACCCACTAAGAGAAAAAAAAATGCCAATTCTCTTTTTTAAATGGGCAAGTGCTGGTTGTTACACACTAACCCCTTGTTCTCAATTCTTTCACAAGAAGAAACGTCCTCTTCACTTCTCACCTTTTAGGACCCCTCAGGATCTTATATGTTTCGATCAATTCAACTCTTTTAAACTCCAGCAGATACAAACCTAGCTTATGTAGTGTTTCCATATATCTAGTACATGCACCTTTCATGGAATATGGAAAATGGAAATCATAGAATCCCTACAGTGTGGAAGCAGGGCATTTGGCCCATCAATCCACACCAAACCTCCAAACAGCATCTCACGCAGACCCACCCCCTATCTCTGCATTTCCCATCCTAGACACTGTGGGCAGTTTAGCATGGCCAATCCACCTAACCTGCACATCTTTGGATTGTGGAGGAAACTGGAGCACCCGGAGGAAACCTGTGCAGATGCGAGAAGAATGTGCGAACTCTACACAGAGAGTCACCCAAGGCTGGAATCAAACTCGGGTCCCTGGTGCTGTGAGGCAGCAGTGCTAACCACTGAGCCACCGTGCTGTCCA